TCCGAGGGTATCACACATTATATTTCCAATTGTTCTGATAGACATGTACAAAGTGAACACCATGAACAAGTGAATACCGCATTTGTCAACCAAGGGAATAATTCCTATGGCACTCATTATAATGCCAGGTGGATGAACCATCCAAATTTCTCTTAAAAAAGCCAAGGGGAAGGGTCAAACCCTCCCCAAAGTGGTTTTCAAAGTAAGTATGTTCTGCCCCCATTGCAAAGCCAAGGTTCCCATGGTTATAGATTATTTTACCAAGCACAACATGGGAACCAATTCTCAAACTCTCACTTCCCAAATTAATTTTTATATTATCATGGGAATTCAAGAAGTCCCACATTTGAGGAGAAAGTCTTAACCGTTTTGGGTACTTTAGAGGTGAATACCTAATTACTTCATTCTCATTCCTAATCAATTACAAAGTTAGAAACCCAAGTCAGGCAAATAGCTAGTACCTTGAATGCTAGGGAAAAGGGAAAAATGCCTTTGAATCTACCACCCAAGCAATAATTTGTTGTGGAGACCAATTCCTCCACGGAAGGTCACGCAATTGAACATGTGAATGTGGTGACCAACTTGAGAAGTGGAAGAATTGTTGATAATCAAATTGGTGTTCAAAATGAAGAGAGTGGACTGGTGTAACCAAAAGTTGACACCCGTCCTGTCCTATATCATATTCCTCCTTCATGGGATGTGAAAGAACCCTTTGTTCAGAAAGATTTAAAGAATGATTTTGAAAAAACGTTTGAGCCCAAGGCTCCATTTCTGGATGCCTTAAAAGGATCAAATTTTCTTAAAAAGTAACAAAGCAAAGCAAATGAGATAATTGATGTGTTTAGGGAAATGAAGATCAATCTTCCTCTCTTGGATGCAATTAGATAAATTCCGGCTTATGCCAAAATTTTGAAAGAACTTTGCACCCTTAAGAGGAAGAACAACAGCCAAGAACCAAAAAGAGTTGTTTTGACCGAGCAAGTAAGCTCCATTTTGCAACACAACACCCTCCCAAAATTTAAAGACCCCGGTTCACCTACCACTTCTTGCATTATTGGTGATCATGTCATCAACCGGGCTCTTCTTGATTGGGAAGCAAGTGTAAACCTTCTCCATATTCAGTGTATGTTTAATTGGGCATAGGAGATTTAAAATCGACATCAATAGTTTTGCAACTAGCCGACCGATCCATCAAAAAGCCCTGGGGTATCATTGAGGATGTCTTAATCAAAATTGATAAGTTCTTCTTCCTGGTTGATTTCGTTGTCATTGACACAAAACCGGTCACAAATCTCAAGAGCCAAATTCCAGTTATTCTTGGCCGTCCCTTCTTGGCAACCGCTAATGTCAACATTAATTGTAGGACAGGAATAATGAAAATTTCATTTGGCCCTGTGAAGGTGAATTTGAACATTTTCAATCCAACCCCTAATTCTTTGGACAAGCATGAAGAAGTATGTGTTGTTGAAAAATGTCTTGGAAATGAATTTGACAAAAATAAGTCTTTGTTTGGTATTGAACAATCAATTTTTTTGCCTTTTAAAAAGTCTTCAAAAGGAAGAGTTTTTAAACCAAGTGTTGTAAGGGCATGGAAGCCCAAAGATTTTGTTGACAAAGGACCATCAATTTTATTTCAACCAAATCCAACAAGTTCCCTAGGGAATAGTTTGTTGGGTGGGGTTCGAATATCCATTCACCCCATTAAGGAGGGGATGCACACTAAAATTTTCGATCCGGGCTAAAAGAGCCCAAAGTCTTGCTAAAGATGTTAAACACTAGTGCTTCGTAGGGTTTCCAACCCTATTCCTTCCTCATTTCTATTTTCTTTTCTTTTCTTGCGTCGTCTAGATACAATCTGGGATTCTATATGTTGGTTGAGACTTTGATAAGGAATGTATCTGTTTTTATCTCCAAATTAGGCATTTAATGCTTGTTCAATCAATCATAAGAAGATATTCTATCGATCAAACATCATCTCCGCATATCCTCACCTCTCTGTTCCATCGTTCGAAGATTCTCTACATATTTCATCTCTCTGTGTATCGTTCAAACTTCCTATCCGATCGATCCAAGTTCTTTCAATCGATCTCAGTTCCATACTTAGAAAATTTTTGAATCTCTGAAAAAAATCATCTCTCTGTCTATCGTTCGAAGCTTTCTGCAAGTTTTCACATCTTGGATTGATCGAGTTCCGATCGATCACACTTCGATCAATCTGAGTTTTTCCCTTTGACTTTGTCTTTTCAAATTTCAAAATTCAATTTTAATTTCAAAAAAAAAAAAAAAATCCAAAAACATTTTCAATTTTCAAAATTAAAAAAATTTCAAAAATATTTTGTCATTTTGTAGGTTCGATCGATCTGAGCACCTTCATGATCGATCCAAGTTCGATCGATCCATTAAACCATGTGATCGATCACATATGTCGGGACCAATTTTTTTAAAAAATGACCCAAGGGTCATTTGGATCATTCTTTAATCAATCCAAAGCCCTCTCTCCCTCCCCCGACGCTTCCTTCGTCTTCCCTATCTCTGGCAAGACTCCGACAAGATCCTAAGCTTCAAATCTTCGATCTCGTCTCTCTTCTCTCTCATCTCTTGTCTCAGATTTTAGTAAGTTTGAGTTCCTTTTTTAAATTTCTGTGTTGATTTATGTTTCATTCTCTTGCCATGCTTAGATTAGAAGCTTTCCATGTTGATTTTGTTGCCATATTTGGGTGTGCAAGCATGTGTATATATATGTATTTATGTGTATATATGGATTTTGTTTCCGAATTTGAATTCGGGGGTCACGTGACGTTTTAAGTGACTATATTTGCATTGTTGAGGTGTATAGGGGGTCACGAGCCTTGAAGTGACCAATGGAATGCGCCCCGTTTATTCCATGTCACGAATTAGTGAATTTTTATTTCTCAGCAGGTTCGATCGATTACACCAGTGCTCTGATCGATCATAGCACGATCGATCCAATGTATGTCATGATCGATCTAACTTGGATCGATCACATTTTTCTATGATCATTTGAACTTCACTGTTTTTGCATATTGATGCTCCTATATCCTTTCTTGTGTCCATGCTAGTATATTTATGCCCAATGCCTGTGTTTTCCACATTGGTTGGATTCCATGCCTGTAATGTCTAGCATGTTTCACATTTTTGATCATTCACTATCTATACTTGGCTGCATTACCACTTGCATAGATAGGTTCATGTGCTTATATTCTGAGTTGTCTATCTTAATTTGACAAGCATGTTTCTATCTGTTGTGCTTTCATTTCTGTATCTCATATACTATTTCCTATTACTGATTACAATTGCAAGTGTTCTTTCTTTTTGCAGGCCATGACTAAGTTCAAGACCACGACTAACTAGACCTATGACCTCTAGGTGTAGCAGCGGATAGAGGAGCTGGAGGAGCCTGCTCCTGCATAATCCGAGCACTCCTCCTCTTCCTCATCCTCTTCTTCGTTTCAGGAGAGTGAGTATACACCATCTCCTTCACCTACTTCATTGCCACCACTGGCACAGCTTGGCATGGCCTGAGACCGGGTTACTCAGAAGTTTGCTTGCCTTTTAGTGGTGCATAATTCCATTTTTGATGAGGATTTCTTTGAACGGTCGATCACAACCAAGTGGTTTTATGATGAGAGCTACTGTTGTAACGACCCACTTCACTACATAGTATGATATTGTCCACTTTGGGCTTGAGCCCGCACGGTTTTGCTCTTGGGCTTCACCCCAAAAGGCCTCATACCAATTGGAGATGACACACTTACATATAAGCACTTCACCATTCCTCTACCCAGGCGATGTGGGACTTGTGCACCCGTAGCTCGCTAGTGTGGTAGCCTGTCAATGTATTTCGCACCCGCCCACGACGCACCCGCCCACAGGGTTATCACAATCCACCCCCCTTGGAGGCCTGACGTCCTCGTCGACACACTTCCGGCTGGGTCAGGCTCTGACACCATTTGTAACGACCCATTCCACCACATGGTATAATATTGTCCATTTTGGGCCTGAGCCCGCACGGTTTTGCTCTTGGGCTTTACCTCAAAAGGCCTCATACCAATTGAAGATAACATCATCACATATAAGCACTTTAGCTTTCCCTTTCCTAGGCAATGTGGGACTTGTGCACCTGTATTTCGCCAGCGTGGTAGCCTGACAGTGTCTCTTGCACCCACCCATGGCACACTCGCCCACAGGGTCATCACAATCCACCCCCCTTGGAGGCCCGACATCCCCGTCAGCACACTTTCGGCTGGGTCAGGCTCTGTTACCAATTGTGATACCCCCGGATTTCTGGATGTGGGTTGGCCAGGCCCACGCCCGATTATCCGAAGATATCAAAACAATTAGCAATAAATGAACACAGAATACAATTAAGATAACTATGAACAAATAAAATTGCTGAAAGAAAACTAAAATGAAAATCCAGAAACTGAAACCTCAGAATAAATATTATAAATAAGGAACTATTCTGATACATTCAACTTTTCCATTTCTAATACAACTCAGGATTCCATCTGGTGGACCCCTTATAAAACTCCAACACTGAACGACAACAACTGAAGGAAATCCAATGCTAAACCATGAAGAAAACTCCTATGTCATCGGAAGAATGAGTGACCGTCTCTGCTCAGCACGAACAAGCTCTCAGACTTGGAACCGTCCGTTACCTGAAAAATAATAGTGAGTCAAGCCCAAGAACAAGTTCTATCATAACTACAATCTAAATAGAGACCCGATACGTAGATACATCCTAGATATCTCAACCATATCCATATAGTCCGTAAATACACATATATATATATCCACACTACAGGACTCTCACTGGACTATGATGCGGGTCTCAACCTGAATTGAAGGCAACATGCAAAAATGCACCCAAAGGTGGGCAAGAGTACCTAGACGTAACAGGGTATACCTCAACCATTATAACCAGCTATGCATTGTAACACCCCGAAGTTCAGATCAAAATACGTCAGTATTACACCTAGGATCTCAAAAAGAAATATCATTTTATCCTTTATTGATACAAATCAATTTCCTCAATTAATTATACAAAATTCTCTAAATAAATAAAATAATCTTCAACGCCAACTCTTCTACTTAAGCCCGCTACTAGCAATCCAAGTTCTTCCTCAGTACCTGAAACTGGAAGGGGGTGAGACGGGGAAAGTCCCAGTAAGAAAAACCATAGCAAGGATTTCAAAGAGTTTTATGATAAATTTGCTTCACAAAAATATATATATGCTTTTAAACAAAATACATATATGCAATTTTAGCAAAATAACAAGCAATAAAATATTTGAAATAAAATCATCAGGCCATTCAAGATATGAAGAACCTTACACTAAAAAAATAATTTATATCACTGAATCATCAAGCTTGCATCAAATTCTCAAGCCCTCTAATTTTCTCTCTCTCAGTTTCGGCTCACTGTGTTTGTGTATGTGTGTTTCCTCAAATTCTCTCTCTATAGTCTCTTTTCTAAATCATTCGCAACCTGTGTACATGCACTTCATTAAATAGGTAATTGTACCGACACAAACACATAACAACTCACCATACAACTCCATTCAGATGTCAGACCAAAACAAAATATCTCATTTTGAACACAAAAGTCATCTGAGTCCCGCCACCCATGCTTTACTCTTTATCTTATCATCCATCTTTTGCTTCATTCATCTGAAACTAAAACAACACATTACCAATCAACAACCTCAGCCACGTGAACTAGACTAAAATCAATGAATTTTAGCAAAAGAATATCCTAGTGGGCCCGCCATCATTACCATTTAAAATTCTTATTATTATTTTTTTTCCTTCTCTTGCCCACTTCGGCAGATGCAACCCCTTAGGAAATTACTACACCATTTATATATATATATGCATATATATATATATATATATATATAGCATAAAACAAAAACCAAAAAAAAAATTAAGTCCATTAATATTATCATCTTGTGGGTCCCGCCAAAAACCAACTTTTCATTGTTTCCTCTCCAATTCGGCAGCACCTTGTTGCCTCCTACAGATACAATATATATATATATATATATATATATATATATATATATAATGTAACAAATTAAATCAACCCATTTCAGCTGAAGCTCATTGCCACCTCAAATTGATACACCATATATATCAGAGATATAGATGTAAGCAAAAAACCAAATATGCTCTCCTTTATTTTTCAATTAGATACGCTTTATATATAAAGCATATAAAAAAATTCAATTTCAACCCATTAAATCTTAATTGGGTAAATCTCAAATTTAAATAAAATAATCAATCTCCAATTATATAATCATTCTCCAATTGATAAGTTACCAATAATAATTAAATATTTAATTATGACACAAAAATAATAATAATAATAATAATAATAATGAAATAAATACAATTTCAATTCTTAAAAATTCGGATTGTCACATTCTCCACCACTTAAAAAGAATTTCATCCCGAAATTCAGATCTAAAAATTTTCGCACACCTGAAAACATCAAAAGTGGTAAAACAAAATCCAAAAATCCTTACCCCAGGCGATGCGAGATACCGTGACATAAAAAACGTTGTGGTAGCTGACAATGCTAGTTACCCGCCCACACATTCCGTAACCGTTGTGATAGCTAATCAATGCCATCATCCGCCCACAAAAACAAGGTCAATAATAAAATCAAGCAATACTACATGCCAAATCACAATTATTGACCACCCCAGTAGCTGTCAGTGAACGACACCCGCCCACACACATCAGGCTACAAGCGGTAGCTAATCAGAACTAAACACTCGCTTACTTACACCCATTAACAACATCACCAAACTCACACTTCCTGCTGGGTACAGACTCTGTTACCATTTTGTAACGCTCCGAATTTTTTCAATAAATTTCTCGATTTATTCAGATCAAAATACGTCAGTATTACACCCAGGATTTCAAAAAGAAATATCATTTTATCCTTTATTGATACAAATTAATTTCCTAAATTAATTATATAAAATTCTCTAAATAAATAAAATAATCCTCAACGCCAACTCTTCTACCTAAGCCCGCTACTAGCAATCCAAGTTCTTCATCAGTACCTGAAACTGGAAGGGGGTGAGATGGGGAAAGTCCCAGTAGAAAAAATCATAGCAAGGATTTCAAAGAGTTTTATGATAAATTTGCTTTACAAAAATATATAAATATTTTTAAACAAAATACATATATGCAATTTTAGTAAAATAACAAGCAATAAAATATTTGAAATAAAATCATCCGGCCATTGAAGATATGAAGAACCCTACACTGAAAAAATAATTTATATCACTGAATCATCAAGCTTGCATCATATTCTCAAGCCCTCTCGGCTCTGTGTGTGTGCTTCCTCTAATTTTCTCTCTCTCAGTTTCGGCTCACTGTGTTTGTGTATGTGTGTTTCCTCAAATTCTCTCTCTATAATCTCTTCTCTGAATCATTCACAACCAGTGTACATGCACTCATTAAATAGGTAATTGTACCGACACAAACACATAACAACTCACCATACAACTCCATTCAGATGTCAGACCAAAACAAAATATCTCATTTTGAACACAAAAGTCATCTGGGTCCCGCCACCCATGCTTTACTCTTTATCTTATCATCCATCTCTTGCTTCATTCATCTGAACCTAAAACAACACATTACCAATCAACAACCTCAGCCACGTGAACTAGACTAAAATCAATGAATTTTAGCAAAAGAATATCCTAGTGGGCCCGCCATCATTACCATTTAAAATTCTTATTATTTTTTTTTTCCTTCTCTTTCCCACTTCGGCAGATGCAACCCCTTAGGGCCCGTTTGGATCGTGATAACGTTATATGTTATGATTTGGTATGATATGAAAACAACCGTTTTGGTATTGATATGTTTTTAGTAGAAATCGGAACCATGTTTGGTAACGACTGTTTTGTTTTTGATAATTGTATATCAAAAACATGAAAATGCGTTTGGTAATGTCATGCATTTTAAGGAATTCGAAAACAAAACACGTTTGGAAAGTTAGTTTTGTTGTCAAAATTCTGAATCAATAACAAGATATCTGTGTGGTAAAAGACTGTTTTGTTTTTGTTTTGAATAATTATATATATGAATACAATTATATGTTTATATGTAATAGTCCATTTTTCTTTATAATTTCAGATAATTTGTTAAAATAAAATATATATATTCTGCATTAAAGAGTTGGGAAAAAAAATTATGAATAAATTTACATGTATAAATAAGATCATGTGGGATGTTTATAAGGCATAAACATGATTAGTGGCAACCAAACTACAAATCTAACTTTGTAATAATCTTTCAATGAGAGGAGATCTTTGCACTCCATTTATCTTTTTCTTTTGGCTTGTACTCCATTTAACTTTGTTTTGTTTCATATATATATATATATATATATATATATATATATATTATATAAATTCATTATGATTGAGAGAGAGAGATCCTTGTAGTTGAAACTAACAAGAAGCAAATGATGGACATTGACTCTTGTGAATGAGTTTACTTTAGTAAGATTAGTTTGAATTTCCTGTTGTAGATCCTTCAAAGTACTAATATTTTTATTATTAACTCATGAGACCGTTTCCCCTTTTCTCGAGTATTTATTTTGATAACCAACTTTTGAATATTTCATACAATATATCTACAACCATAAGCAGAATTGATAAATAGGAAGAAAGATTAAAAGCGAGCAATCAAAGATGATCCCTCTCTTATAAGAGAGAACAATAAATCACCCCGACAAAAATAAAAAAATAAAAAGAGAGGCATGCCATCAAACAACCTGCTAGAAAAATTATTGCCATCCAAACAAGTACTTGAAAATATTTTGTAGGATTTTAATCAATCATAAATAACATACCAAACCACAAGTTTTTTTTATTCATCACAAACTTAATAAATTGTTGTTGCACCATTCACATATATAGTTGCACATATAGGGAGCTAGAAATTCCTTAAAAATAGTACACACAACCGGAGATCACTAAAATTCATCCCATAAAATGTACACACACTTCTTTATACTTGCATAAGCCTCTATTTGATTAACTGAGAGATCACTAGCTTCCTGGAGTTGTAGCAACTGGAGAATGCGTCCTATAAATCCCACTGGTGCCATGTCCTTCATGAATTGTTTTTGTAATGATCATGTTTTAACCATGCTGCTCAATAAGGAAAAACTGCATATATCTTAGTACCCAAGAGCAGTTTGTAGAAGCACACTGAACATAAACTATGCACAATTTACAATAGTTATAGTGAACATAAACTATACACAATTTACACACATACACTAATTGAATAGGTGCTATCTGAAATTGATTGGGTAAGATGATGATAAATATATTTCGTACTGGAAAACTCATAGACCCTTCCTTATTGAGAGAAGATAATCAAAGCAACTTAGCATCACAGAGCACAGATAGCTCATAGGCCTTCTTCAACAATCCATGCATTTCATATTCAAGACAATGAAATAAAACAATAAACAAAATTTGATCAATCAATATTTTTCAAAGTCAAAAACTATGCATGTCAAAACAACTTGGATTCTTAAAATAATTTAACATTTTCTTTCTTTTCAATTCAAATCCACTATTCAAAACTCTTTCAAAAATCCATTTCAAGTTTCAAAAATCAACCACATGCCTTTTTGGAATCAAAGTTTAAATTCATTTTTTTTTTTCGAAAATCCGGCATGGTTTCCCCTTAAAAAATGGACATTTCCAGATTGGTGGTGGCCCAATTGTTGAAACATATGAAATAAAATTTGATTTATTAGGTTGAATGATGTACTATTCAAATATAATTCATGATATACATATATATATATATATAATCAATCTTCAGAATGGCAATGAATGAGTATTTGAAAGGTATCTCAGTCAAATGTGAAATTAAAAATAAAGCCATGTATCTTGCTATTTGGCAAATTAAACAATTGTATAAAGTCATTGTAAATACATCAACAAAATTCAAATATACTTGACCACTCCAGAAATGAGCCTTCAGGATTGTATAAAGTTAGACCCAATAATCTTGAAACTCTAGAAGTTAAGTTAGAAAAAAATCCAATTTCCGTGGCAAAAATTTCTGCAAACTCAATATTTTTCTAAAACATAGAACCCCCCTTGAAGAACACAGAAAATTTTAATATATATAGATACTCATATATAAAGAGTGGTTTTTCCCAGCAATAACAGTTGGATTTCACAGAACATCTAAAATAAATCAAAGGTGACCTATTTTATTTTATTTTTCTACACTGACATGTATCCAAAGTAGCAAAGAATTCAACAAAATCAGCCATCTATAAACATATGATGGAACACAACTAAGCATTTCAAATAACAGCAACCCAAATACAAGTAAATTGATTTAGAGTAAACAAGCCAACAACATACGAATAGAATGTAAGACTCCAACCCAAAACCAGATTTTTTTTATTTTAATCCATGCAAGACACTCGATTTTCAGAAGTCACGTGTGTGTGTGTGAGAGAGAGAGAGAGAGAGTGACACAAAGAAATACGGCTTACCTTGAGAGAGAGAGAGAGTGAAACAAAGAAACAGAGGCTTACCTTGAAACATCAAAGTCATTGTAAATACATCAACAAAATTGAAATCCCTAACCTGTTTGTACACATCCTCTTCAAAAATTGAACTCCTCTGGCCTAACTCTAACATCAAAATCGCATAGATGAGTCATGTATTCATCAAATGAAAAAAAAATCAAGAATCGATTAAACAACAGATCAATACACAGAAAAGCGCGCACGCGCACACACACACACATATATATATATATAAACATTTTAATCGCCGAAGAGGGTCAGGGAGTGAGAAGAATAAGAATCAAAATTTATGTATCCATTTTAATCGACCGAGTAAGTTTTGTGAACAAACACACACACACACACACATATACGTGTATAAATACAGAGAGAAATGGATTGGAAACAAACCTAGCAGCAGCGGTCGTCTGTAAATCGCCGAACACATCTTCGCGTCTCTAATGGAGGATTCCAGACTTCGGGTTTCTTCTTTAGGGCTTAGGGTTTGCTCCGATGGCCAACTGCAAGAGGTTTGACGGAAAGAGGGAAAACATTTTCACAGGTTAGGGCTTCGATCCGACCATGAAGTGCTGTGAGTGAAGGTGGAGCGAGAGATTCGGTCTGAATCATCTTCCGTAATCTATCTATGAGATGAGATGGAGAGAGGCTGGGATATATTGATAATTCCATCGTCGAAGTAGGGATCGAATAGAAAACTAGGGCTTGAGTTCTGTCAATAGAGAGAAGTAGAGAGAAGGTTGAGTTTGGCGAACGAGATAAAAGAAAGGCCAGCAATACCAAAAATGGAAAGAGGTAGCTGGTGGAGGAGATATGCCAGATCGGTGGTGGAAGAGTTTGTGTATGAAGTTATCGCCTCTGAAATCGCCTCCAAGGAGCTGCGCGAAGAGAGAGAGAGTGAGGCTGAAAAATGGGCCAGTTCTGATATGCGAATTTTTATAATTGATATCACCGCTATAGTTAAATGAGGGTTGATATGGTTTTGGTTTGGGTTGATATGGCCGCTACAGTAAACCATATCACCCAATATCACCAATTCTTTGATATGGGTTTTGGCCCAAATCTCATAATGTTTTTACACTGTTCAATACCACATCAGCCCACTCCAAACATGATATTGGCCCAAAAATGAAACCAAAACATGAAAACAATAACAGATATGGGCCTCCAAACAGGCCCTTAGGAAATTACTACACCATTTATATATATATATATATATAGCATAAAACAAAAACCAAAAAAAAAATAAGTCTATTAATATCATCATCTTGTGGGTCCCGCCAAAAACCAACTTTTCATTGTTTCCTCTCCAATTCGGTAAGCACCTTGTTGCCTCCTACAGATACAATATATATATATATATATATATATATATATAATGTAACAAATTAAATCAACCCATTTCAGCTGAAGCTCACTGCCACCTTAAATTGATACACCATATATATCAGAGATATAGATGTAAGCAAAAAACCAAATCTGCTCTCCTTTATTTTTCAATTAGATACGCTTTATATATAAAGCATATAAAAAAAATCAATTCCAACCAATTAAATCTTAATTGGGTAAATCTCAAATTTAAATAAAATAATCAATCTCCAATTATATAATCATTCTCCAATTGATAAGTTACCAATAATAATTAAATATTTAATTATGACACAAAAATAATAATAATAATAATAATAATGAAATAAATACAATTTCAATTCTTAAAAATTCGGATTGTCACATGCATCCTATTGCATATACGCACCATAACCAACGATCCTGAAACTCAAACTCATATCGCGGTACCATAATCATATATATATAGTCCGTCTAAATTCAAAGTATGTCATTTTATTGTTTATTGATTTGACATAAGAATTGTAATCCAGTTTGTTACTTAACTTACGCAGTCGATCTGACTTAACTATAAACACAATTAATCCAGGTAGTCATTCAACTTACTCAGTCGATCTGACTTAAATAAAGTTAGGATTTAAATGTTTTAATTAAATTCCTATCTTTCCTAATATAGAAATATAAACAACCATCAAATATGTCGTTCAACTGTTTTAGTTGACAGGACATGAAACCATGTAGGATTTAACTGTGTTAGTTAATCCGTTCCGTACGTATGAATGGGTAAGAATTAACGTTTTGATCTAATCAGTCGCTCCATATGCCACTG